TCAACACAACTGATAAAATTTTCTCGATGAGAAGACAGGGAGATGGAGGGCCCTCATGCCCTGAATGGACATTCACTTCAGGACACACCATGGATTCTTGGGGCCAGTGGAAGATGGTGTGTCTGACCGTATTGTCCATTGAGGATGTAGAAGACACATACATAATTGGAATTATGATAGCGGAATTTCTGCTTTTTGGAATCGGCGGGTTTCAGACTTACCGACAAATTTAGAAAACATCATCAGCAGATCTGGCAGTTTTGAAGCTGCCTGCCATGTGTGAAGAAATGTGCCGTGCTTCGAGCGCCCAGACTCAATTACTTTTCGAGCTAAGCCATAACCTAGACGGGAATTCTAAGAATCGCAGGTCACTTGCATCTTCTGGAACTCGTTGGTGTACAGGATTCGACCTTGGGGAAGGCTACAAGCACGGCCCGGCGGAATGACCACAAATCTGGCTGTTTTGTATTCACCATTGAGAAGTACAAGCAGAACATTTGAAGGCAGACGTAAAAAACTCAAGCAGAGTCTGCCTGTCCCAAAACATACGTATGTTGTTGTCAATTCTGGCTTCCCTGCTTGGCCTTGAATAGGCCAGCTATCTCAAATTCTCCCAGAGTTTATGTGAATAATCCTGCTCTGCTGCTCCTCCCCCCTCTCCCGAGGACATCTGTGGGCCTTATCAGAACTGTGTTGCTGATAGACACTGTACCAACTTATCAGAATTTTGGAACACTCTGGCAGTTCCTGACAACTCACTGCCTTTGTTGACCTCCTCATGCATAAATGTATTATGATGTCATTGTATGTTGCTGTTTATGTTGCGAGGTCTTTTTTTGCATCTTTTACACTTTGCCCCGGGCCAGGACATGGTGTGAGATATGATTTTTTTTTAAACTTCCTCCACCCTCGTGTTCTCTTTTCTACTACTTTGTATGCTTTTATGTAACAGGTCTCTCTTGTAAATGAGTCCTCGGGGCTCAATGGGAACTAACCTGTATAAATAAAGGTTGAATGAAAAAAAAAATTTGAATATCCAGATTTGTTATTGCTTATCTTCTTAAGAGACCAATTTAGTCTTAACTTTTAGCTAGTCCAGCTGCCATTTTCTAAGCTAAATGTAGCTGTTTGTGCATAACATTGAATCTAAATTAAAATCAAGTCAAGTTTGAAGTCTTTATAAAGGTAGCTCAAAGTCCCTCAGCAGTATCGACAAATTTATTAGTGAAAATTATCCAAAAGCACAAATCACATTTAGTCATGTTTCCACTAATACCTAAGAAATTATATATAAATGCAGAATAATCAATTAATAAACATTTTTTACGAACTGGGTTAGCTTCATAAATCCAGTTTTAATTGTTTAGTCGTAGATCAGATTGTGTATTACCTGTTTCTTCATTTCCTCCTGAAGTTCCAATTATTTTTAAATTTGCAAACGCTAACTGAATCCAGTATAAGTCCATCTCAAATAAAAACATTAAATTGCTGCAGCATAAGTTAAAACATTTTTAAATAATTTTGTAAATAATCTAAGAAACAAGGATTAACCATGCATGTCTCTTATAAAAACCTGATTTAGTTGGTAGAAACAATCTGCTAATGTCAAATACTGAGCAGTAAAAGCTTATTTTAAGTATTTCATTAACTATCTTATCTGTGCTGCTGATTATCCATGCTGCTGATCTCTTGCCTTTAAGCTGCTGTATTCATACCCATCTGCTCACAACAGACTCATGTTCAGGCTGCTGTTTAATACACCATATTATTTTACATTATTGGTGTTTAGCATATATCTTAGATCCTTGATTACTCTTTTTATACTTTATATTTTTCTATTATTGGATGTAACTGAGACCTTGAGTACACAATTTCATTCCACCTCATGTACCACATGTGATGTGAATGACAATAAAGAACCTTGAACTATAGATGGAAGAAATGAGGAGCTTGATTTTGCGAATCCTTAACCTCGCTCCCTTCATTGCTGCACACACAATTATGAAAACACAAATGAGAAAATCCAAACAGTTTTATTTACAGAGTACCTTTATAAAGAGTGATCATGACTTCTTCAAGAAGGTCCTCCTTTTATTACGGAGACCACCACCCTTCTGTTGCCATTGGTAATATATAGATGAATGCAAAACAATTCTGGAATGAAGCCAATCATCTTTTGGTGTTATTTGATTAGTTAACACATTTGCTTTGTGCATAAGCAAATACAGAGTCTGTAAGAAAGATCTAAGGACGAGAAAGTTTCAATCTTATTTGCGAAGCCTCCTTCAACACTGTATAAAACGTACAAGTTTGCAGCTAAGCATAAACTGAAAAAGTGTGTTCCATTTTACAAGAAAATTAGTTTATATCTGCACAACATTCCAGTGGCTAAAGGCTTTCTTTGTTGCAAACTGAATCTTCACACTTAAAAGTATAGTGAAATATTATAAACACAAATGCACGACAGCAACGGGGCAGCAACCGTTTTCATCCCGGCACCTAAAAGCAACCAGAGCTATACAATGATCCAAAATCTTTTGAGAAAAAAAACAACTTTGTGTCTACATCTTCAAGAGCACGGTGATCAGTAGAGGCTTAAGTGTAAACGTTTTCCACTGATCGATGAAGCAGGCACACACAAAGCCAAGGATAGAGTAAATTCATGCACAGCATTTCAAGGTTATGAATGAGAGCAAATCCAACAAACGTGAGCTTAGAAAGGGCACATAACATTTCTACATCTTCGCAAGTCTTAACGTCCTTTGATTCAAGAGTCAAAGCAACATGTAATGAGATGTTAAGGTATTTGTATAGGCAATACACGTGAGTGAATTGCACATCATGTAGAGGGTTTTTATACCTCATAAGGCAAAATGGTTTAAGACAAAAAAAAAAAAAAAAAAAGCTGGGTTTCTCAGCAGCACTGTGCTGTTTCACAGGATATCAAAGTTTTATTGTATAATTGTCCAGTCTTTATCCATAACCACAACACCCCCAACTTAATGAATAAGTTTCTCAGCTGTCATTTTGAATTGGAGAAAGCAGGCTGCTGAACTCTGTCCATAATAGCAGTGGTTTAAAATATCCACCCTGCCAACATGGTAAGTAGGAAATAGGATACAAAAGTAGACAATTAGAGGTTTTTGTTTTTTTTTGTTTGTTTTGTTTTTTTAAGTGAAATAAGGTTTGGGCTTTGTTTGACACAAACATTAAGCTGCCACACCCACAGGTTGTCCAAGAAAAGAAAAGAAGAGAGGGAGCAAAGACACCCTCTGCAGGCCCGTTTTAGTGTAAATATCTGTGCAGTTAAGTAGAAAAACAACACATCTGTACAAAAAAGCCACTAAAAAACTTCACAGAAACAAAATCACCATGAAGACTACTTTTCACAATAAAAACAAGCATTGTTGTGGACAGAAACTCAGAAGAAACCACAGTGGTATGACCGCAGAAAGGAGAGATATCAAAGTAAGTCAACATGTTGAGTGAAGACAGTCATGGAGAAGACAGTTCATCCTTTCCAACAAGATTATCAGAACATAATTAAAAAAAAAAAAGTTCTTTACCAGGTTATAAAATCATTGAGATCTAACCTCAAGTGTACAAAAATGCACATCTACAACAGAACGTGTTGCAATGGTTCAGTCTGAGTCCAAACCTGACAGAAATGCAATGCAGATACAAAAGCATGCAAGCCTCAATGAACTAAAATATTGTTTGAATAGCCTCATTTAGGACATTGTGAACCGTAAGAGTTTAAAAACAAGGCAGCTGGATTTCTTTTCTGTCGGTTGACTCGTTGCTTCTCACTGCAGAAGCTTTAAATAAAGAGTGTGACGTTAAACTGCAGCGCAGAGCTCAGTTTATTCCAATTGAAATCACAAGTAAATGACGCCCACCTGAGGGTTAAAAGGATCGTCGCTAACCTGGTTTACAAAACATCCCCCTTGTGAACCTGGCTAGAGCCTAATGACCTTCAGAAAGGAATGGAGGGCAGTAATTTGCATGTGATTTCAACTAGCATAAAAGGTATGGGGTGCCGTTTGTAAAGTTACACAGTCAAAAATTAACAGCAATATTTTGGTTCATTTAGCCTTTCATAAAAAAATAGTTTGTTTTTATCAAAGTAATATTTTCACCATGTTATTCATACATTTATAAATGTCATAGTTCCCAACTAAATGTTTAATTTACAAGCTAAATATTTAATTTACAAAGTAAATACTTAACTTGCAAGTTAAATATTTAGTTAGTAAACTAAATATTTAGGTGTAAATTAAAGATGTAATTTCCAAACTAAATATTTATTGTCCAAGCTAAATTTCCAAACTAAACAGTTAATTCCTAAGCTAAAGATTGAATTACTAAACTAAATATTTATTTTCCAAACTAAACATTAAATTTACAAGTTAAATATTTATTTTGCTAACTATACATTTAACTCGGACCTAAATATTTTACTTACAAGCTAAATATTTAGCTTAAAAGTTAAATGTTTAGGTCTGAGTTAAATATTTAGCTAGTAAATTAAATATTTAGTTTGGGAATTAAATGTTTAGTTTCAAAAATAACTATTTAGCTTGGAAATTAAATATTTAATTTACTCCTAAATATTTAGTTTGCTAACTAAATATTTAACTTGCAAGTTAAATATTTAGTTGGGAACTATGACATCTATAAATGTATGAATAACATGGTGAAAATATGACTTTGAAAAAAAATTTTTTTTAATTATGAAAGGCTAAATAAACCAAAATATTGCTGTTAATTTTTGACTGTGTAACTTACAAACGGCACCCCATAAAACAGAGCGTCTCAGTGCAGTTTAAAAGCTTGGAGCACTACATGTTTTTGTACACTTTGGGTTACATTAAAAATATCAATAGAAACTGGTAAAAACATTTATGTCCTGATATGTATAGAACTGAAAGAAGGTGACTTTTATTTCCCTTCACGTCTGTAAGTATGCACTGCCCAAAACAATTTGTGAACTGACCTATTAAAAAAAACACACTCATCAATTAAAAAAAAGAATGCTAATGGATCACCTACACCGCCCCGTGTGTACTTTGATAATTCCACGAGTGTGCATGTGAATGAAGTTGAAAATTTCATGGGGCATAGCATGAAAACCGGGGCGTGGCTTGACGTTGTCATAGTAGTGGTGAGTGATGAAAATGCCAGAGGGGTTCATGGGAAAAGCCCAGAATCCATAGAGGTGGACCTCCTCGCACAGCTCTAAGGCAGCAGTCACGAGCATCAGGCCGCTGCTGAGCCGCTTCGCCCGGACGCCCTGCACCGCCCAGAAACGCTGCACATTTAGGAGATACTGTGGGTGGAAGAAGAACACGCCCCGCTGGGAGTCAAAATCATCCAGCATGTACTTGACTCGGAAAGAAACATCAGTGTTGCGGGTGTTGTAGAAAGCAGGCAGCACCACTGAGGAGTTCTCATAGTTCTGAAGGACATCATAAAATGGACGACGCCATTTCTCCAGCTTCTGAAATCTATAAAAGTAAGGAACCATGAAATAGAAACAAGAAGAACGCACAAGAAGAATTGAAATAAACAGATGTAATCTCTCTCTCAGACCTTTAAAGACTTACCTCTCAGTTATGATGCTTGGATTTATTGTCACCAGATCTGTTTTAGTGCCGACATCTGCTGAGTACTTCTCATTAATGGGTGGAACGTTGCATCTGCAAAAAAGAATGAAAAAGTCCACTAGAATTCACATTTTATCACCTTCATTTGACTTCACTTTTCAAAATAGACTAACTTATACACAGATTTTTTTAAAATTTGAGCTCATGAGAGCAAATAAAACACTATAATACTAGTCCACTGCACAACCTGTGCAGCATTCGTTAAAGGTATCTGCAATTATAGGAAGACAAAAAACAAATTACTGAGACTCTTATTGGAGGAAGATTATTTGCACTACTTTTGTCAGTGGAAAACTCTTCCAGCCTACTTCCACGTACAGAGCTAGAAAGGGTACAAGTGTCAAGAAAACAAATAGTATATGCAAAGTATCTAATGCAGCCTATACAGTCATTCAACTTTAATTTATACAGTTTAGTCTCACTGAGCCTCGAGGATTAAGTTACAAGAGAGACCTGATTTTAACAAAGAATGAGGACAACAGTGGATAATCATAAAATAAAGCATATAAATTGAAAAGAATAAATGAAAGAAAATTATATTAAAAAAATGAAACAAAAATAGCTAGAGTGTAAAGCGATGTAGAAAACTAAAAGCAGGAACATGTCTGTATTGGTTTTTGGCATGAACTTAGCAGATGTTTGAAGCCACTTAGAGAGGTCAAGGTTGAGAGTTTCAGATCTTTTTGCAAGATATTCCAGGAAACGGGAGCGGAGTAGGAGAAGGCCCTTTTGCCTAGTCCAGTCCTCACTGAGGGGACACTGCAGGTAATAATGTCCTGAGAGCGCACGCTGTAGCTGCACTCACGCAGAGACATGTAGGAGATGTATGAAGGCAACAGATCAAGAAGTGATTTAAAGATGAAAATGTACCAGTGAGAGAGTCTGTGTGAAGTTAATGATGACCAGTTAACCAGTAAATACAGGGTGCAGTGATGGTAGTTACAGCCAGTTATGAATCTTAATGCACCATGGTAGACAGTGTCCAAGATCTGCAAGGTGCTTGTAGGAGCGTTAATGTAAAGAAGGAAAGTCACAGTTACAAGGTGTCATGTTTTTGTACTGTAGCTGCTTATATGTTGTTTAAGTTTGAGTCATCTTTAATTGGCTGAAATTCAGTCACAACAGTGGATTTTATCTCATATAGTGATAAAAACTGATTTCTTTTAAAAAACCTTTAAACACTCTTCTGAGTGTGGAAAAAAAACCACGAGTTGCTCATTTTCCGAAAAGCTTTTTTTGGGGGGGGATTAAATTTAGAAAAAAATATATTTTCTGCTCATCTATGTGCACTAAACAGCTTCTCAGGTGAAATGGGAACTAGGATGGAATGCTTAACATTAATTTGAGTCACACCAGTGTCAGATAGTGTTTCATGTGTTTGAAGGGTGATGTCCTCTTAGACTGATTTATTGTATTTTAAATACCACACTCACCTTGGTAACCTCACTAAATTTCAGTGTTTCATGAAAATGCTATTTTATAAACCTTTAAATTAGGGATGCACGAATTGGATTTTTGACTGATATGCCGACATGTTAAAACTTATTTGGCCGATAACCGATACCAATACCAACATTTTTTTCTTTGACCTACTTACTCTGCTGTGAAATTAAAATACATTATACTGCATGGTCTTTGTCAATTTGGCCTGCTACCAAATGCATATGCCAAAAAGGGGACTGAAAATGATGTAACATTACATAAATATATACGGTACATTTAAAAAAAACAGTGCCTTTTATATCAGTGAGTTATTTTGATGGAATGGCTGATGTTCAATATTTAACTTTATCGCTAATATCGGCCGATACCAATACAATGCCGATAATATTGTGCATCCCTACTTTAAACCAAATTGAGGCTGTTCAGAGATATGTTTAAAATAAGTCAAATGTGAATTCTTCATCAATTTTCCACAAAACCCCACTAAGAAATAAATCTGGACTCTGACTTCAGGCTTCCTCAGCAGCTTAAGTAAAAATCAAGTTTTGATAAATCACTGGTAAAATGTCAAAAATGTTTCATCTGCAATATTTCTAATAAAATATGATGAAATCAATGTTATTGTCGGCATTACTAAGTTTGTGTCCTTACTGTTGTTAGAACAATACAATTAAAAAAAAAAGTCGTATTGCGTTATGTCCCCAAACTTATATATAAGTGTTACCGACCCCTGCAACCCTGAATCACTGAACAATCATAAATATATTTTAGAGCCTAAAAAATACTGAAACAATAAAACGTGCATACCTGAAAACAAAATCTGAAGAATCAATCTCCTTTCCACACTTGCTGTTCTTGATGATGCCTCCATTTCCAATAACAGCGCATCTTTTAAACTGTGATTTGGAGTACGGCATGTCCTGCACGAGATGAACGTTGAGCACGTGAACTTTTGATTAGCACATCTGACTCCTCACATCAGTGACTAAAGAGAAGACAACAGCAGGAAAGAGGCAGCCAATAACAAAGAGACGATGAACTCACGTCTGGGAACATCTTAAAGACCTCCGTGGTGATGGGAAGGATCCCGCTGGTGTCCACCTCGTACCTCAGTTTGGTCCCTGCAGGAGTGTTCCTCTTGGTGGTGAAGAGAAAGGATGGAGCATTACAGCAGCGGGACAGAGACATCCTGCAGGACCAAATGTAGCACAACTTGTGTTACATTGACATGTTT